GTACAACGCAATTTATAACTCATACTTAAACGATATGAGCAACATCTGCATATATTAGAAGGCAATTTATCATTCGGAGAAATCTAGAAACACGAAGAATATAATATTATTTATATATTATGTAATAAAAATGCAAGTTTGAAAGCTTAAACATGCTAAAGAGTATCATACATCTCTTAAACTTACATCGATCGGTAAACATGTATTTATTTTTTCGAGAATATTATCTTCGTCTTGAAATATTGCAAAACAGTTTCGAGACTCTTTTCCACACAAACGGCAAATCTCGATTTTCTCGTCTTCGTTAGCCATGTTTATATTTTTATTGAAAGTTTACCTTTGTAATCATTTCATGCCTCTATGAAGATTTTATGTCTAAACAAGATCAAATGCTGTGTTTACAAAGCAAATGTTTTTTCTATTAAAAAATAAATAAATCTGTTTCATTATCACAAGTTAATCGTTCCATGCAAATTATATGTGTTCTTACAAAAGAAAAGATCTTAATGTACATTTAACGAAATTAATATTTTGAGTAGAATTTTTGTAGTAAAAAAAAACAGGGTAGAAAGCAAAATCTAACGTACGGCAAAGGCCTTCGACAGAGTAAGAGATACGTACATGCAGAAATTGTTTAGTAATAATATTTGCTGCAGTGTCGTTTGAGCTTCTGCACGTTTAGCACATTCCAGAGCTATGCGACACTGTGCGCAGTCGAGTTTCTTGCTCTGGAAAATAACAATATGCAACTATGAGAAAGAAAAACGAGATTACGTGGAGATCAAAATTTTGCTCCTACTTCGAAACTTAATTTTAAGAGATATGTAAATTTTAAAGAGCTATAATAGATTCGAATCTATATGGAAACATAGCTCCTACTTTGTACCTTTAAACCTTGGTAGTTATCGAAAAATTTTCTACATTAAGATTCAAAATAGGTTTCCAGCAAAATCTCTTAAAACCCTCCACAAACCCTGTATAAGTCCACAGCTCTAGATCATCTTAATTAAAATTTCCTGCATAATTTAATTACTTTTATTTATTTGATATTATATTTGATATCGATCTTACGGCACTAATTGTTGTAACACAAATTGTTAATTTTTCTTAATATTAAATATAATATTTGCAAAATTATTTAATTGCACACACTCGTTATATTAATATAAATATATTAAGAGAAAATTAGTTTTTGATATATGTGATTATATAGTGTACTATAAATAAATAATAAAATAACGATTATATATACAAAATCTGCATTTTTATAATTATATATATATATATATATAACTATCATAATGTTAATTATATTTATAGTTTTATATAACGAAAGGAATACATGTCTCAAAAAATTATAATAATTTCCGGGATATAATATATTCCTTATATATATATATATAT